GCACTTCTTTCAAGTTGTACTGATTTAAAAAATATTCAAATAATATATGTTTTTTATTTATAGCAATGCTTCCTTCTTTTAAACATGAGCAGTTCTTTCGAGTTGCTATTGGGAATATCTATTATTTAAAAGCGTTCTAAATTCAGTTTAATTGTATATTGATTTATGATTAAAATTCGGCGAAATGACCCATTCAGTGAAATGTCCATCGACGAAATGTTCTGCCACGAAACGTTCTTCGGCAAAATGACACAGCCCCGTTTTGAAGATTTCTGCTCATCCTCGAAGTACTCGGAACTTCCCTGATTATAATGAAACTACCGGAAAATCTCTTATCTTCTTTGAAAGTACAGTCAACTTTCGCTCGTTGGGCTAAACCCATAGCCCACATAGTGAAAGGCTTTCGTTAGTTGGGCTGAGCTGTCAAGCTGAAAATGGCTTAAGGAATACACTAATTGATTGTTATTATCACAATCCTTGAGCAATTGGATACTTGTTCATCCATGAGCCCCTCGAAAATGAATCAGCACTGTCAGAAATTACGTTTGACTTCGATAATGGGAGCCCAAGTAAAACGTAGCCCACTTAAAAATAGCCCAACGTGCAAAATTCAACTGCATCTGGACTTTCCCAAATGATTCGGAACTTTTTTAGCACTTTAAATACTTTTTCGAAAATCATTAAAAAGCTCAAAACTTCTCATAAAATGTTCTCTCAATTTTCAAATGTTCATGTTACGTTTCTAAAATGTTCTTGAACCTTTTGGAACTTTGCTAAAGTTTTCGTAATTCCCTGAATTGCTCGGAACTCCTTTTAAGGATCAGAAATTTTCTTGAATTGATATTTCCTGATGTTCTCAGAGCTTCTTTAAAGTTATTTCAATTGTCCTGAAACAAATGGAACTGTCTTGAAAACAATTAAATAACCATGAAGTTCTTTGGACTTATAAAGTTTCCAAAATATTTAAGATGTTCCTGAAGTTCACTGGAGTTCTCTGGACTCTCCTGAAATTCACTGTCTTCAATTTATTGGAGCCTACCCTTACAGATATTTAAACTTACCCACAAATCTGGACTATTCAGAAGTTTCAGAACTTCTAAACAGTTCCTACAGTTTTGCTAAAGCCAATGGATCCGCAATACAACTCTGGAAGCATTCCTGAAGTTCCGGAGAAGTTGTAAAAACAAAACTGACGGGAGAAGACGGAAGAACGTTTCGAGCCAAGCCAGAAGAAGCTTCCAAGGGAAGCCGAAATAGCTTTCCGGAAGTCTTCTGAACTTGTTTGGAAAGAGGTCGCTAGAGCCCTCATACTTCTTTAGTAAGGATTGCAAGCCTTCTACACTTGCCGAGCTGAGAATTGAAAAGTTTCACGCGATATTGACAGAATTATTTTTGACATTGTCACTGGAAGAATTGACTTTTATCAAAAGCTCGTTAATTTTTTTGTCAATGACAAAAATTTAAAAATTTAAAATTTCTTCAATACTCTTTGTTATCTAGGTAGTAACGAACGTAGATGCCATTTATTGAATTGATTTTCTCATTTCTTTCAACTAATTCTTATGTCAAAAGGGTCACTTACATGTGTCGATCTCAGAGCCGAAATTCACATGACTTTTTCGTAGTGTGTTGTACTTTGAATTTGTCTTGGAAGTCCTTTAGATCCTTTCTGATGAAGTCCTCGAGCTTTGCAATGTTATTCCTTTTTGCTTACCTCGAATTATGCCCTTGAAACCATCAGGACTTGCTAGGAAAGAACCCTCAAGACGTGACTTTAACTTGCTTTGGAGTGCTGGTGCTAACATTTTTACTGGCTTGTTCAGTCTTGTGGGAATTAAAATGGTTTATTTTTTCATTGCCCGACGACAATAGCAGTCGAATAACCAATCAATCACTTGCTTTGGAAGTTCTCCAAATTTTCTAAAGAAATGTTAAAACAAATTCCAAGAAGTCCTCTGAACATGCCATTAAGCTTCTCTGGACTAGCTCTGAAAGTCCTCAAAATATGTTCAAGAAGTCTTCTGTACATGCTCCAAGCATTCAATGGACTTGTTCCGGAAGTAGCCTGGAGTTGTCCCGGAAGTCCTCTGGACTTCTCCCAGAAGTCCTCTGGACTTCTCCCGGAAGTCCTCTGGACTTCTCCCGGAAGTCCTCTGGAATTGCCCAGGAAGTCCTCTGGACTTGCCCAGGAAGTCCTCTGGACTTGCCCAGGAAGTCCTCTGGACTTGCCCAGGAAGTCCTCTGGACTTGCCCAGGAAGTCCTCTGGACTTGCCCAGGAAGTCCTCTGGATTTGCCCAGGAAGTCCTCTGGACTTGTCCAAAAAGTCCTCTGGGCTTGCCCAGGAAGTCCTCTGGCCTTGCCCAGGAAGTGCTCTGGCCTTGTCCAGGAAGTCCTCTGGGCTTGCCCAGGAAGTCCTCTGGACTTGTCCAAAAAGTCATCTGGGCTTGCCCAGGAAGTCCTCTGGGCTTGCCCAGGAAGTCCTCTGGGCTTGCCCAGGAAGTCCTCTGGGCTTGCCCAGGAAGTCCTCTGGGCTTGCCCAGGAAGTCCTCTGGGCTTGCCCAGGAAGTCCTCTGAGCTTGCCCAGGAAGTCCTCTGGACTTGTGCAGCAAGTCCACTGGACTTGTGCAGCAAGTCCACTGGACTTGTGCAGCAAGTCCTCTGGGCTTGCCCAGAAAGTCCTCTGGGCTTGCCCAGGAAGTCCTCTGGGCTTGCCCAGGAAGTCCTCTGGGCTTGCCCAGGAAGTCCTCTGGGCTTGCCCAGGAAGTCCTCTGGGCTTTCCCAGGAAGTCCTCTGGGCTTTCCCAGGAAGTCCTCTGGGCTTTCCCAGGAAGTACTCTGGGCTTACCCAGGAAGTCGACTGGGCTTTCCCAGGAAGTCCTCTGGGCTTGCCCAGGAAGTCTTCTTGGCTTGCCCAGGAATTCCTCTGGACTTGCCCAGGAAGTCCTCTGGGCTTTCCCAGGAAGTCCACTGAGCTTGCTCAGGAAGTCCTCTGGGCTTGCTAAGGAAGTCCTCTGGGCTTGCCCAGGAAGTCCTCTGGGCTTGCCCAGGAAATCCTCTGGACTTGTCCAAAAAGTCTTCTGGGCTTGCCCAGGAAGTCCTCTGGACTTGTCCAAAAAGTCTTCTGGGCTTGCCCAGGAAGTCCTATGGGCTTGCCCAGGAAGTACTCTGGACTTGTCCAGGAAGTCCTCTGGGCTAGCCCAGGAAATCCTCTGGGCTTGCCCAGGAAGTCCTCTGGACTTGTCTAAAAAGTCTTCTGGGCTTGCCCAGGAAGTCCTCTGGGCTTGCCCAGGTAGTCCTCTGGGCATGCCCAGGAAGTCCTCTGGACTGGCCCAAGAAGTCCTCTGGACTGGCCCAAGAAGTCCTCTCGACTTGCTCAGAAAGTCCTCTAGGCTTGTTCAGGAAGTCCTCTGGACTTGTCTAAAAAGTCTTCTGGGCTTGCCCAGGAAGTCCTCTGGGCTTGCCCAGGTAGTCCTCTGGGCATGCCCAGGAAGTCCTCTGGACTGGCCCAAGAAGTCCTCTGGACTGGCCCAAGAAGTCCTCTCGACTTGCTCAGAAAGTCCTCTAGGCTTGTTCAGGAAGTCCTCTGGACTTGCCCAGGAAGTCCTCTGGACTTGCCCATGAAGTCCTCTGGACATGCCCATGAAGTCCTCTGGACTTGCCCATGAAGTCCTCTGGACTTGCCCATGAAGTCCTCTGAGCTTGTCTTGATAGTTTAGTTGTGGTCTAAATAGGCTCTGGACTTGACCCGGAAGTCCTCTGGTCATTGGTATTCCGATAATTTAAAGAATGTCCAGACTTTTGGGGAAGTGAAATGATTTGTACAGGCAAGTTCTGAAAAATTCAGGACAATTTCAGAAAATTTTATTAATATTTAAGAAATTCCGGGAATTCAAAATATCTCGTGATCCTCAGGGTAGTTGCATTAATATTAGTAAAATTGCCAGGACATTAAGAAAGATTCGAGAACTTCTTGGCAATTGAGGGAGCTTCAGGGAAGCACCAAAAACTGCAAGCTAGGTTTTAGAACCTAACACATAATTTTAGCTGCAGATCGCCTGCTCAATTGTTTGTTTAGAAGTTTAGGAATGTTTTCAGATCTTCAAAAATGTTTCTAAATGTTCAAGAAACATTCGGCAGCTTCAAGGGAGATCAAAATACTTCAAGGCAGTTCAATTAACTTTAGGACATAGATGGGAACTTTTAAAAATTTAGGAAAGTCTGGAGAACTTCAGGAAAGTTTGGAGAACTTTGGAGCAGTTCGAATAACTTCGAGCATTAAAGAATTAAAAATGTAAGAAATGTTTTGACTTTCGGAGACGTTTGAAGATCTTCAAAATTCAGTTTTGATAAATTGAGTGAATCGAGGAAATCTCAATACTGCATTAATTATTTCGTTTTAAATTCAGGTAAATAACAGGAACCATAACAAAGTTTTGAAAATTTAAATGAAGCTCATAGAACTTTGAGAGCTATGTGAAAGTTTCACGAACTTCGGGAAAATTACAAAAACTCCAGAGATGTTCAATGATCATCAGGATGATGCAGAAACATTTTAATTGAAGTAGTGTTAAGTTAAATAAGATCATAGAAGTTCCATGAACTTCAGGGAAATGGAAAGAAGCTTTAAGCAGCTGCTTGTTTTTCTGGAAACCCAGAGAATTTCTGAGAAAACTTCTGTAAAATTCTCAGGTTTTTTTCAGAAATTCAGAGAATTCCAAGTACTAAAAATTCGGTTGTTTAAAATTGGAACCGATATCTGATCAAATTAGCAAAAATCAACATCTTAGCGACCCTCGTTGGGAATTGGTATGGAAGCGAGCTGTCAATTTGTTAGTTAAGTGTCAAACAGTGAAGTTAATATTTTGCTTTAAATCTTCAATTAAAGATAGACATGAATGTCTATGGGTTCGAACAAAATATCGTTGTGCTCAGAAAACGAAGTTCTTTCAGATGATGTATAAAAACTAATATTTTTTATTTCAAAATTAAAGAACCCAATGTTAGTCAAAAAAAATTACAGATCAGCAAAATGCTTCTTTCATTACAGCCACAGTGCACAACTTCACAGACATTTCCCTACTTTCTTCGATCTCAACACCTTCATCACCATCATCAACCAGCCAGGAAAGCAAACAAACGGTCAAAACCTATCCTTCACCTCCCTGTGAGCCTCTGACAGCTATGGCGACAGCGATGATGACAGCCCATATCTAGCAGGCGGTCGCGGTTGGAATAAAAACCGAGAACCTGACGGAACGCGAAAGCTGTTTATGCGGAAATACCTACTGACTGCCTCTTATTGGAGCAGTCCGTTGCCACCGTCGTCGCACAAGAAATCGGATTGCGGAAGATACCCTCTTCCCCTTGCTGCTTCTTGTTGGAAGAAAAGGGGTGTATTCCAGCTCCCCCACCAGACGCTGGCTCTGCTCTTGTTATATATAGTAGTGTTATGCACGATGGACGCACAGTGGGTCAAATGGTCTTGTTTCAATGCAAATTTTTGAGGTTAAGCTGATGAACCAAACTGTTAGGACCAGAATATTGAAGTTCAAGCATTATTTTCTAAATAAAAGAACGCCCAAACTTGTCACCATTTGATCCACTGTGCGGCAGTAGTGGTGGAAATGAAATATGGATGAAAACGATCCCCCAGTCTCCTAGGAAGGTGGAACGGGAAAACAGATTACGACGGCCGGAGATGTCGGCGACGACGTCGTTGGTGATGATGGGAAAAAATGTCAGTTTTTTCTTCCACCCGGTTCGGTTTGTGTAAGTTTGTATTCCATTTGTTTGGGTTTTTTCCTCGGGAGTAAAGGCTTAGAATGGTTCCGAAAAGTTTGTTCAATTTTTCCCATTTTCAATATAAATTTTAACATTCTAAAGAACTAAGATAAAATCATAATCAAAATCACATTATTTCAACGCGTTCCTGTTTTTAACTCAGTGGTATCATCATCGGCTCCGGCCCCGAAGATCACGAGTTCAACTCCCAGATCGGCCTTATTTATTTTCGAACCATTCTAACGCCTCCCAACCCCAATTCATTCCCTCCCGTCGCTCTTGCCAGCCGACAGTGAGGTTGACTTTGATTTGCAATTGTTTAACTTTCACGCTGTATCCCATCTAGGACTATACAACGGGGAACGAAATGGGTTCTGCCCATTTCCATTCTCTCTCAGGTCAGCTCAGCTCAGCTCAGCTCAGCGTTTTTTTTGCTCATCCCCCGTCACCACCCCTTGGGCAGCGGGCGGGTGACGTGTTGTGTCGTGTCTGTTGCTGACGGTATCGTATTTCAGTTTTTTCTCATTCTCTCTGTATAAATATGCTGTTAACTAAACGTTACAAAAATATTTATAAAAACTATCTAACTTTCCCCCGCTATTTCTCTCATATCTCACCGAATCTTACGACCTTTTGGCGATTGTTTCGCTTCTGTCTGCCTCTGTGTTGGGGAGACAGCGCCCTCTGCTCCTTCTATATCTTCTTCTTCTTCCTCTTAACACTAAATAGGATTAGTTTATCTTAATCTTACACGCTGGAGAGGGGCAAATAAAAAAAAAGAGGAACAACACGAGATAAAGGGGAAACGAGGGGCTTCTGAATTTATAGTAGTATAACATTCTGAGCTGGTTTGACCAATTTTGCCTGGCCAATCTGCTTTTTCTGTGTTTAGGTTTCTGATCTTCTTGTTTAGCTATTTACAGGTCTCATTTTAGAGCATTTCCACCCAGTTTTTTGTTCTTCAACTCGCTGACTGTCAATGTACAAGTGTGTGTGTGTGTGTGTGTGTGTGTGTGTGATTCGGTATGATGACAGCGCAGAGAAAAACGGCAGCGGTGTGAGTAACGATAGTGCACTATACATAAAGAGGGATCAACAGAAATTGCTTCTAAAAAATTAACAACTAGATTTTCGATTTGTGTATGAGTGTGTGTGTGTTGTGTGGCATTTCTTAATCTTGTTTTGGTTTTCTTTTCTTTTCTTTTGAATAAGAGGTCACTATCACGCTTCATTCTTGGTGTGGTGTTGGGTTGGCTTTTACGTAGTTTTCCGAACGAAAAATCCACGCTCGAGCCAACCATCGTCATGATTCTCTATATAATGGCTATCGTTTTCCATTTTCAGCTTTACAGAGATAGCGAAATCAACGCTAGAAACGATAGGGTTAGAAGGGCTACGTACGTTTGCTGCTGCAAGTGATGATGGGACCGATGGTGCAGGGATTGAGCTGTAAAGTAGATGAGAATAAAAGTTAAGATTATTTGAGAAGTTATGAGAGTGTTATTGCTTGGCAGAAATCGAAAACGGTTATCAAAAGCGGAACAGTTTAATTTGGTTTGTTTTCTCTTGCCCTTCACGACTCGAAGTCAAACCATTTATGATGTAATTGTCGAGAAAGCGATGCAGATGTAAACTTTCATGATATGGTAGCAATTAAATAAAAATTTAATTAAGCTTTATTTAGAGTGCAGTCGACAAAGTATGTTTCAAAGTACCGGTAGTGGACATAAACAAAAAAATACATTCTGATAAGGACTCTTCCAAAGTATTCCCGATGACATATCTGCTGTTAATTGTTTGAAAATCTTTAAGTAATTCTATTTTGATGTTCTAGAAGAACCTCAAGGCGGTATTATTGTTCGAAATTCTGTGATAGCTTTCTTTCAGAAATCTAAACGAAGCACATCTGAAACACTTAATAAATGCTTTCTTAAGAATTGGTCAAAATAATGAAAGCATATCCAAATTTTGTAATACCTAGTTTTTTAAGTTCTTCAAGAATTTATTTCTCATGTGTTATTAAATTTCACTCCTGTTGTTGCGAACGCCCCTCGTGCGACGCCACACCTACTGGTTCACCATATTTATGCAGCAACGCTGCATCAGTCATCATGAGTGGAGTGAAGCTGGCTGCGGTCACCAACGGACAGGAGGAGCCGTCAATCAATCCGTGAATCGAGGAAGAAACGTCAAGGAAAAGTACAAATCATCATCGAGTGAGGTGGAAAAAGTTTTCTAATTCAATTACTTAAAATATAGTTAAATTCCTTATACTATCTTAACCTACTGTCTTATCTAAATGTAGTGAAAGGTAGAGACATTAATTGAACTTAAAATAAGATAATAACTAAAACTAAAAACGAAACTTAGGTTAAGGATAACTTACAGGTTATACGATAGAGTTGCGCATACCAATACGACCCGGGTAGCGAATCAGAACCTGCACAAACGTAAGCTTGCTTGAATTTATTATAAATAATTTGTGCTAATTATACCTATAATGTTCTTCAGGAAAATTTTAACCGTTTCCACGGTAACAATAAACGTGTTAAAGTTTCGGATAAATTGTTTCTTGTAGCAAAAGCAACACCCGTGTTTTAGAGAATTTATGCTATTTCGCAAGAATTTTGCTCCAAATTCTGTAAAACTTTCAAATCAAATGAATCAAAAATCAATTTTAAGATTCAGAAACAATGTACAATTAAATTTTGCTAGAATTTTGATCTTAAATATAGGGTAAACTTCGGTTTCGGCAAAACCTTACTCTTTTATCGTAAACAACGTCATTGAGAGCTCATTTTTGGCACAGATTGTGTTTCAGAGAATCTATTGGGCAAATTTGAGTTCTTTAACACTTTGTTAACCCCCTGACGATAATAGGTTAAGGTATAACCGAAGCCAACAGTTTATTTTTTAATCCTAAATGATTGAAGTTTAAATTTTACAAGAAGTTGTTTAATTTTTTGATAAAAATTACTTTTTAAAACCATGCAGAACTTTATCTATTAAATTCCGCAATAAATTGGAGTTTAAATTCTGGATTATAATCATTGAGACTTTCATCATTAAGGGGGGAGTACACTTTGATTTTTCAAAAAAAAAATGCATTTTTTTTTTGGCTAAAAATGTTCCTTGGGATGTCTACTTTAATTGAGAAAAGACTCCAAGTCCGCCAGAATATTTCTTACCGCTTTACGAAGCGATTTCCTAAAACATGTACCGGCGCGCTGAGAGAGCATTTTTATCTTTAAACGCGTTTATCTCGAAACGGGGTTTTTCAAACTGGCGTGGGAAATAACCAGTAGCGTGCACAGGAATCTTTTTAAGGAGGGGCAATTTTTTTCTATGGTGCATTTAATCTGGGGATGGGGAGTACTCCAAAGTACGTGGTAGATGGTGCTGTCCTCCTCCCACTTTTCCCCTACTGTTAAATTTAGCTAATTTTATTTATTTTTGTTCCGGTGGTGGTTCATCTTCTTTACATTACATTGTGCAACGACGTAATCATGTCATTTTGAATACGGCTACTTGTATACTGGCGATTTTTGACACCTTCCGCCAAGTGTTTTTCCAGCACAGGATCGTAGTTAGCCACCAACTGGGTGGCACACTTTCCGCTCCATTCGAATGTCCACGAAGTGGACGGCTATCTTTGCAAAGTATGCGCACAATACTGATTAAATGTTCCATTATATAGCGATTTTTTGTAGCCGCTTTGCCTTACTAGCAGCAATCATAGCTGTTTTTTGGTGGTCCAGTTCTTCGTCGATAGCCTTCCTGGTTTTGAAATTCTTCCACGCTTCCATAGTACCACCATGGGTATCACTGCGATTGTGTTTGCCCAGCAACTCGGTCGCTTTCTTCCAATTTCTGAACCCTGTAGGAATCTCTCTTTACAGATTAAAAATACAAATCAAAGAAAATATATTCTTCAAGGTACTGGTATCGTCTTTTATTCAGTTACCTCTCTGAAATTTTTTGCAGAACGTTTTTGTATATTTTGAAGACATCGTTACAGTTTTTGACTATTTCAAGTAAGTATTTTTGTTAGCCCTTATATTCTGTTGTAGTCACTTTAATATTACCGTTGCGAGTACGTTGAACTTGGTCATTTTCAGCGAAAATAGTAGTTTTATTTTTTTTCCAAATTTGGCCTTAATGCCAAGGCTAATAGAATCATTAAAAGGTTTAAAAATATATAACGATTGGACCAAATGCGCACAAAACTAGGATTGAGCATGTCAACCACGGTAACAAATGACTTGAAATTTTCAAAGAAGATTCTTAGACAAATTCTCAGTAAGACAACAATCGACCAAGGTTTAATGGCAAACTTATACCTACTTTTCAATTGAGAAATCCAAAAGCTGTCTTTAAACTTTGCGAAAAAGTCCATCCCCAGAATTCCTTGAGGTTCTTTCAAAAAAATTTAGAACTCTATGAACTCTTATGAAATTCTTCTCAGAAGTCCTCTGGAATTATTTTTAGAATTCTTCTTGACTTTTAGTCAGAACACCTTGGAACTGAAATTCCCTTAGAGTTTCAGAAGAATTTCCTCAGTATTATCTAGAAATAATTCCCGGAATGAGCTAGAAATTATCGGTACTCCCTTGAAATTTTCTTCAAAATCCCTTTGGAATTTCACTAAAAATTTAATTTTCTCTGTATTCTTTTCGGAATTATCTTGCAACTATGGACTGAACAACTTGCAGGATTCACTATAAATTATTCGCAGACATTTCTTGGAATACTCCCCAGAAATCTTTTGGAACAGTCTTCAGAAATCAATATCCTTGAGGATCTTCTCGGAATTTTTAAAACTCTTCCAAGAGCTCTTTTGAAATTCTTCTTAGAAGTCCACTGGAATTATATTAACAATTATTCATGATATTTTTTGTCAGAACACCTTGAAACTGCAATTCCTTTAGAGTTTCAGAAATTATTCCTGGAATGAGCAAGAAATTATCCTCGAAATTTGCTTGAAATTTTGCTTAAAATCCCTTTGAAAGTTTTCTCAAAATATGATTTTCACGGTATTATTTTCGAAATTATCTTGGAACTATCTGCAGGATTCACTAGAAATTATTCGCAGAATTTTCATGGAATCATCCCCAGAAATCTTTTCTTTTGGAACTTCTCTTCCGAGTTCTTCTCGGAAGTCAAGTTTAATTTTTCCGTCCATTCACCAAAACGTTGTAGTTTTTCTACCAGAAATGTTCAATAAAGCTTGCCCCTCCATTCACCAGAACTGTGCAATTGTTACATCTGGAATTTTCAATTCAGCTAGTCCTTTCATGCAGCAGATTGAATCTTACACCAGAAATTTTCAATACAAACTTGCCACCAGAAAATTTAACACCAGAAAATTGTACACCAGGACATTTCAATTGACCAGAACGATGCAAATGTTTCACCGTTAATGTTCAATAAAAATTGTTCTCCAATCTTCTGATTGGTGCGGGTTTCCTTTTTCCATTTTCCACCAGACATTTTCAATATACCTCGCTAGGATGATAGGAGACATCAGAATGTTGCAAGTTTTCCATCAAATAAAGCTTGCTCCTATTTTCAGATTTTTCATCATGAATTTTCAGTATAGCAGCTTCCCTCCAATCATCAGAATGGTGCAAATTTTACACCAGAAATTTTCAATATAGCTTAATTTTAAATAAAGCTTGTGCCTTCATTTACCAGACCAGTGTAAGTTTTCCGCCAGAAATGTTCTGTTAATTTCATTTATCAGAACGATACAAATTTTGCACCAGAAATTTTCAATAAAGCATTCTCCTCCATTCACCAGAATGGTGCACCAACAATTGTCGGTGAAGTTTGTTTCACCATGTATCTTTGTGGTGCAATTTTCAGGCACCAGAATGGTGCAAATTTTCCACCATAAATTTTCAATAAAGCTTGCATTCATCAAAACGATGCAAATTATGCACCAGAAAAATGAATTAACCTTGCTTCTACATTCACCACAGTATTGCGAACGTTCCACCAGAAATATTGAGTTAAATGTGCACCTCCAAATTTTTAGCACGATTCAATTTTTCCACCAGGGTTATTCATTTTGATTAGTCCCTCCATGATTGATGATATTTTTACACCAGATATTCAATAAAAAGCTTTCTCTTCGATTTACCACCACGAAGGTGAATTTTTTCAACCTTAAATTTACCCTTGAAAAAAAAAACTACAAGAGACAGCTCTATGGGGTTGTACGCAAAAGTGACTTAGTTTTGTATAATAAATGTTATTTGTTAACTGCAACAGGAGCTTGTGTTTTGTGTAGGAATAGGAATTTGAGCATGGTTCTCTCTGTTTTCACTCTTTAGTTTGACTATGATTGCTCTGAAAAGAACTTTTTGATGTGAATTTTAGTTAGGATATGTTCAGAAATATAACTCTTTAGGAAAATCTTGGTGGCCCTGAAAAGGGCTGATGGTA